CTAAGATGAAAGAAACATCAGTTTAAAAATGGCAATGCTGCTTCATCTATATATATATATATATGAAAATATTTTTGAAGGTACAAAATCTAATTATTGAAATAAAAGTGTGTAGCTTAATATTACAAGACATGTTAAAAGCGAAGCAACCGGTTTCGCTCCCGCTCTTCAGGCCTCTACAGGAGGGTTAACTTAAATTAAAACAACAGAAAATGTGTAATGAGAAGGAGAAGGGAAAAAAATCTCCCGTAGAGGCCTGAAGCCCTTTGCTTTTAACATGTCTCGTAATATCAAGCTACACACTTTATATATATATATACATATATATATATATTCAGAAAAACCCTCATCGAAAATACCTCCATACTTTTCCACGAAAAGAATAAACACAAACTAAAAATTCTCGAAGCAATTTATATAAAAAAATTGAAACCAAACATCAATAAAATTCATTACGAATATTCCACAAACATTTTAAAATGTGTACAATAGATAGTCTTTAAATGTTAGCGCTTGTCATTAATAGTTTTTCCTTTATCTAGCAACTACTCAAGTCCGGAATTTTACCACAGTACACCTAGTTACCTCCCCTTAAACGGTGTTTGTCACCCAAGCCATGACACAGTGTTCCTGATTCCACATATAAAAATGGTAATTTTAGGATGACGACAACAATTTTTATCCTTCACAACCATGAACACTAAATACTTACTCTATAATTAACAATACACTTATGATGACATTATGCTATGTCGAAAGTACTCGGAAATAAATACAATATGAGTCAACACGGTGATTTCCTCTTATCTTTTAATAACCCACGAAAAAGCTTATCCGCGAATATGAGAGGATCTTATCAAGTACAAGTAGACAGAGCATGCCTAAATTATTTAATGAAACCTGTCATTCATTCATATATATATATATTATGAAATGGACATAGTCCGACTATTATTTTAAGACATTTTTTTTGTTTATACATTTACCGGCCTGAATGTCCGAGAAATTTTCACAGAAAATATTCGTCTTCTGTGAAAATTTCTCGGACATTCAGGCCAGTAAATGTTGTTTAATACTGTTTATTATAAAACAGAGCATTTACTTAAATATTTGTATCTATAAAAAGAATGTATAAACATAAAAATGTTATTATATATATTTGGGCAGCAATCCCTCTTTTATACAAGTTTTGTTAAAGGCGACTGACAAGGTACTGCGATTAAACTTTTTTATTTAATTTTTCTTGTGTTCGTACAAGTGTTTTCTTTTCCGAACACAAAGTATGTCAAAAATGTTCAAAGGTTCTGCATATCCGAGCACTTTCGGCTATTCTTTTAGCCATTATCAAGGACGATTTTTATTTTTAACTGCATTGTGGACATAATTACATATATTTCAATATCAATTTCGTAGTACGTTTTTTTTAACTTGAAAAATAAAGTGGATGGATAATTTTTGAGGAATGCGCGGAAAATGACCAAAAACCGTGTGCAATGTGATACAAATAGTTCACAATTTTGGTCCTCGGGGCCAAATATCGGCACTTAAGGGTTAATTGCAGTACCTTGTTACTCGACTTTAACGAAACTTCTGGATATATATATATATATATATATATATATATATATATATATATATATGTATTGCTCAGAGTTGAATTAGACTAGGAAACATTACTATTAAAAAGTGCTCAATATACGTATAAAAAATAAAAATTTAACACGCAGAGCTTTTAAATTTAAAAATTAGGAGATTAGTCGATCACGCTACCTTGGTTTCAACCTTTCGCTATCTTCAGGCTAAATAATTTCCTAACGCTTTATTATTTAAAAATAAATAAACGTATAAAGCATAATAGAAGGGGAGGAGAAAAGCAAGTGTATTCAAATTGTATCTGAGAGTATATGAAATGTATATACTTTTATCCTGGTTAATACGAACTCAAAAGTAACTTTTTAGTCTGTATACACCGTGTCATTATTTCTGATCTCTCATTCAGGTTTTTATTTTTTGCCTGGAAATGTTATTATTGTTGACTTTTCTTCCTGGCAAAGAATGCCGTTATCGCTATGATTGCTGTAAGGTTTGGCGTTTTAAAAAAAAATTCCCAGTTTACAATCGGATCTTTGTTATTTTTTTCTTTTAATTTCCCCACATGGTTGGCTAGTCTGGTAGAATTCCTAAGTCTTTTTAGATTGAATGATGACTTGTGATATATACCATCTCTTCTTGAAGCTGCCTTTTGGTCTGGCTATTTGTATCTTTTACTTGTTTTTAAAATGACTCCTTCAGTTTTGCAAACTCCATCTAGTGGACATCTACATTTATTTCTACAGTTACCTTTTTTTTTTTACTGTTAACGATATCTTGCTACACGTTAGATCTGAAATGAAGCTACCGCTGATGCAATTTGCGTTTCTCCTCACCTTCTATTATGCTTCGCGTTGTGCCATTATTTATTTTCAAATAATAAATCGTTAGGGAATTATTTAGCCCAAATCGCCTGAAGATACCGAAAACTTGAAACTAAGGTTGCGTGATCGGCTGATCCAATTTTAATTTTACATTGGAACATACAACTTACCACAACAAAAATACATATTTGTTTCGATGTCCAATTTAGACATCTCATCAAATGGTTAACATTGATAACCACCAGGTGAGTTTAGATATCGGAACAAATATGCATTTTTGCTGCGGTAACTTGTATATTCCAGTGTAACAGTTTATAATAAATAACTATTGCTCTACTTTTGTATTGAGCTCTTTTTTAAATTAATGTTATGAACATTTGAATTTATATTCTTTTCGTTCTTTTACATTTGTGCATATATATATATATATATATATATATATATATTCATATATTATTCACACAAAAAACAAACAAAAGGTTAATGATTTAATTGGCGAGAAATCCATCGTCGCAAACAATTCAAATAATATGGAAAACCTCCGAATCCGTTTTGAATTAATAATAAGAGGTTTCTATAAATTTCTGTATTGTTCTTATTTCCGAAAATGCTATTCGTCTGTTCCTGAAGACATCTTCAGGAATGGAATAGATGTTGTTCTTGTTTTTTCGGCAGAAATTAATAGAAACAAGGAAATTATATTCATAACGGATCGGAAAATTTTGTATATTATTTGAAGATGTCTGACGATGGATTTTCGCCAATTAAATCATTAACCTTGCATTTGTTTTTTGTGTGAATAATTCATGAATTTGTAAATTGATTGCACGTTTATTGTAATTTATATATATATATATATATATATATATATATATATATATATAGATATGTGTTTCATTGAATAATATTGACGTATTGTGTCTTCTTATTTTTATACTGATCCTTTCCAGCTGTCTAATCAGTTTATTGATGTTAAGATGAAATTCATCAAGGAAGGCACTGTAGTCTTTTTTTTTTTTTTTAACCCAAGTACTTTCGAACTTTTCTAAGGGTGAATTATAAAGACAAGTTTATTGTAACTACGATAAAATCTGCATTCTGACGTCATGGCCATTCTTAAAAACACGCGCAAATATGCTCTATTATAGTTATTTTATAATTTTTTAATTTATCTGCTGTAGTTACGCAATTTTTCACAAAACAAGCGTTTCAATATAAAGGGACTGACAACGGAATTGCCTTTAGGTGGCAACCAGTCTTTGAGACGGAAAATGAATACAAAATCACATTAAAGAAGTATGGGTTCCGTCAGACTATATTCATCTAAATACACTTATAGCTGCAGTACATGAGGTGTCGCTACGACGCTAATGGGCTACGGGGCTCTTGACACACGTATAAGATCCATTAAAAGATGTAAAAAAGAATCCGTATTTTCACAAATATACTGAACAGTTCAAATTCTAGTCAGATTCGTTTTATTTACTTACGCGTAGATACTCTTGAGAAAGGTATGAATACATTTCTTCTACCTAGAGCCATGGGTTGAATAGCAGGACAGACTGGGTCCTCTAGCCTTAGTTGGTAACCGGTGTACTGTAGAAAGAAACGGCAGCCTATTGCGGGAAAAACTTCTGCCTAGTCAGTCATGAATCGAATCTTAACAGGCACTGACTGAAAAATAGTTTAAGAATTTAGTCGAGTTTTGGCATCGGACAAATGTCAGAACACTTTTATTGCGTAAAACGAAGATAGGTTATGAAAAAACTGTCAAAAGACTCAAGCATCAATATTAAAGCCTGAACAAATATCCAGAAAGAAATGATTACTTTAAGGATTTGTGCTTTCTTTTTGCAGAGGAACCAGGCTACCTATTTGAAAGTCGATCGGTAAGCTATGAAAATGCTTGATCTTGCTGACCATTTGTCGATCCCTTCGGACAAACATCCCTATCGTTTGTTGTGTGTCGCTATCACAAAGTTTTGACCCGGTCGATCTCCGATCGTCCCAAGGCGTCTCACTGGCAAAACCAAACAATCGAACGATGTTTTATGTGAAGTTTTAGTGTACGCAAAACAAAGTCGAGACGGGGCGAGAGTTGGCCAATATTTTTATGGTTTGCTAACGGATCAAAATCCGAATTCTTCCGCCCTTTGCAGTCTTTTAACATCTTATTTTATTTTATTTTATTTTATTTTTTTGTTCTCTGCTTCCTTTATTTTTCTCAGTATTTTTTCTCTTCCTTCCTTCCTTTGTAAGTGACAAGAACATACACTGTGTAAGGTGAGAGGGCACGACTGGATGGTCGTTTTTGAACACGAAACGTTTTTATGCATCCTCTGCAAATTTAAGTGCCTGAATTCCACTGGCTACATCTTTCTCAGTGAAATCCAATACGATGCTTCGGCTTTTTATCTCGACATACATAATCATAAATCCTAAGTTAAGAATTGCTATTTATTAGAATACTCTCGCGTTTACAAAATTATTGTTCCCTTTATACATAGCTTAACTTAGTCTGGCACAAGGCCACAAGGCGCTTTTAGTTACCTTGTGTCCCAAAGTGGTCAGCTATTCTCGACAGGTTTACGTCCATATCGCGTTGAAACGCCGGTTCTCGTGCGATCACCGAAGTTAAGCAACGTCGAGCCTGATCAGTACCAAGATGGATGACCGCCAGATCGGATTCGTTATATTCACCTATACCTATTAGGAAAGGTATGAATCCATCTCTTATCCCTCCATCTATGGGCTAAATTAGTAGGACTTGCATAAGTAAATCATTATTATCTCCAAGAAATACAATCTAAAATATTTTCCGGTAACCCGCAAAAGATTGATAAACCGCAAAAATAAATCAACCAAAACACCTATCCTCGACACTGCTTAACTTTGGTGAAGAAATTGGAACCTATGCCTTGTACGTAACTTAAACCTGTCAGGAAATTAATGTTACCTTTCAAAAGACACAGATATTTATTTACAATGATGTTCACTCTGTAAAAGGCCCAAGAGCCACTCGAGGTAGATAGAATAAAAGGTACAGTTTATTGGGAGATGTACGGAAGATAACGGTTAAATCTAGGCTTGAACAGGTTAAGATTGTAGTGATCGAGGAAGCATCCTCTTGGGAGTCGATTCCACAAAGCAATGGTTTGTTGGAAGAAGCTGTTACAACGTGCGTGGCATGGCGGGTTTTATCTGTGAAAGTTAGAACTGGTGGAACTAAGGAATGGAGTTCGCCTGAAAATTTTCTATAGAAATAACGATAGAGCAGCGAAAGACTTGCGACGTTTCATCTTTGGAAACGGGGGGTTGGAGAGTGGGAAATGATTTAATCACCCACACAGAAGCAGAGACACTTTGAACTCTATCGAACCTGGAAAGTGACGACTAGACAGTTCCTTCCGTATATAGTAGCAGTACTCCATTCTCAGCCTGATCTATTTCTTATAAAGATAAAGTATAGCAGGAGAAGTCAGGTACTTACTGGAGCGGTACAGGTGACCAACTATTTTTATAGTATTTTTATTGGTGGATCGTCTGTTTGTCTCAATAGGAGCCCAGGCACGGGGCTTCCATTATAAGACACCCGTTCGTCTTTCATCTTGATAGGTGAAGAAAAATCAGTCTCCGCCAGGATGTCATTAGTTTCGTTGTAAAGGTACAGTGCTGTTCGATAAAAGTGACTCACCTGATTTGTTTTACTAAATGTTCTCCTCTCCAATGAAACGAAAGTTGAGCTAAATTCAAAGGATAAGCGATCTAAAACCCGAAGAAGAAGCTTTGAAAGCTCTTTGAATTTAGCAGTAACTACTGGCAAGCATCCGTTCAGTATAATGTTCTGGGGATGCTTTTCTTTTCATGGAACTGGTTTCTTAAAACCTATTGAAAAGACTCTCAGGAGCGAGCAGTACAAAAGAATTTTACAGTCTTGTCTGCTCCTTCTGCTGAAAGGTTGCAAATCGACCCCACTAAGCTCATTTTATGACAGGATAATTATCCTGCATAAAATGAAAATTGATGTGGGGTCGATTTGCAACCTTTCAGCAGAAGGAGTGTTATAAAATTCTTTTTGTACCAATCTCCCTGACCTGAGACCCTTTTTCAAAAGGTTTAAGAAAGCAGTTATAAAAGAAAAGCATCTCAGAACATTATACTGAACGGATGCTTCCATAGTAGTTACTGCTAAATTCAAAGAGCTTTCAAAGCTTCTTCTTCGGGTTTTAGATCGCTTATCCTTTGAATTTAGCTCAACTTTCGTTTTATTGGAGAGGAGAACATTTAGTAAAAAAAATCAGGCGAGTTACTGTTATGGAACAGCACTGTATATGATTAAGTAACAAACAAGTAGGTAACCCTTTATAAATTTGACAAGCATTGTTATTTATTTGACTTCAGCATATTTTTAGGAAGTGAAATGATATGGAGTTGTTTCAATATACACTAACATATACTCATAGATATACGACAAGGAGAGGTTACGCGGAACCCCAGAACGACGCTTCAAGGATCATTTGAAGAAACCCCTGACACAGGCCGACATCGAAACCTGAGACGTGAGAAACTGTTACTGCAAATCGGCCTTCCTGGCGTAAGAGCATCAGCGGGGGGAGGTCGAGACTTTAGAGTCCAACTGTCAACAAGCAGAGGATCTGCGACGTGCTATCAGGCGGGCCCGACTCGCCCAGCCGCTTCTACCACCTACGCTCCTCTGTGGAGGTGGTGTGGTGACTTCCTACACCGAAAATAATTTTGATGTGAACTAAATTTAATGTGCAAATTTTTACTCGCGCCCTGACCAACTTAAAGGACGACCCTAACTCAAAATATTCTGCCAACGGACCTGTTTGAGACGGATAAGATGTTTATTTATTTGTATTTTTTTCTTAAGCGTCCAGTCCCATCAGGACGTAGGCGATCATGACTCTCCACAACTTCCTGTCTCTTGCAGCTCTTAATAAACTTTGTCTTTTTGTTATTTCTTCTAAGCTCTGTTCGGTTATCCATTTACTCAAGTTCATTAAATATGTTATGCGTTATGTCCCTCTTGCCCGCTATGTATCCTGTGAGTATCAGATTTTCGAAGCCTTCCTACCTCATTATATGCCCCAGAAATCTCAACTGTCTCTTCCTGATGTTAAGTATTAGTTTCCTTTTTGTTTCCATTTTTCTAAAACTTTGTCGTTGCTCATATGTAGCATGCTTCTGTAGAACCACATTTCTGTTTCTTCTTCATCTTTGAGGAGATCGTCCAGTACTCGCTGACATACAGAAGGACAGATATCACGTAGCAGTTTACTCTTTTCCTTGTTTCTAGCGAAACTTTACTGAATGCTAAAATTAAATGTCATGAGCTTTCACTCGAGGTCCATATGCATAATAATAAAAAAGAGGAGATATTGGTAAATATTTTCAAGATTCTTATTTTTACGACTAAGGATAAACAATTTTAAAAATATCAATGCAAACTTTAAGATCATTTTTTAATGAATTTGTAGAGAACCATGATCGACTACGTTTGAAAGGAGATGTCCTTTCAAAACGTAGTCGATCATGGCTCTCTACAAATTCATTTTCTTTAATTAATATATGTGAATTTCCATGACTTCTTGGAAAAAATATAGTGAAGCAGTTTCCGCCCCCTTTTTCACGGTAATAAATTCACTGGGATGCTTCTTCTATATTGACTGCCAACCAAGACCAGAGAACTCTCAATTTACTTTGCTATTTAACGTCAAACTGGAGCGGATGAAGATGGATCGATTTATACCTTTCCCAAAGTCATTAATGCGAAAGTGAATGCAACTGAGACGAATGGAATTTGAACTTGACTCGCTGATTTCACTTCACTGTGTTACATTACACGCACGCCCAAAAGTTACGAACAACAAATGTGTTGTATGCAAGATCATATTGTGAGATGGAATATATCCCGTGAAATAAGATTTACAGACAAAGCAAACTTACCATTAAACATAAGGAGGGTTCTTTGTTCTTGGATAGTGGACTCTGTCTATAGACATATAGGGGCATAAAAAAATGAACAATTTGTTATAAAAATAAAAAAAAAGGACTGCTTAGACAAATTGGAATTTCCTATAAAGTGTCTTCGTGTTTCATAAAGTCTAGGCCAGATTGAAAGAGTGGTCTGAGGAGTGGAGAAATACCCTGCGGAAAGGAAAGAACACTTTGATTTCATTTCTTTTCCATCTTGTGCGCATGCGCGTGCATACACATACATACATACATACATAGGGGTGAGCAATACACACGTATTTGAAATCTGCATCGAATTCTTCATAAAAACCTAAAGAAGATTGCGTAGAGTACCTTTCGTTATTGTCTTATCTATTCCCCCGGACAAGAGAAAACAGAATAAGATTTGTTTTGGCCAAGGAAAAAAAAAACAAAAAAAAACAAAGCAATAATCCATTCCATTATTGAGTGGGTGACTATTGTACAATGTACATAGAAAAAGAAACGAAGAAAAAAAAAAAAAACAGAAATAGTGAAAAAAGATCAGATAAATAAAGCAAACAAACAACAACTATTATATACCAAAATGAAATATCACAAATTTGTGGATGAATTTTGTATAGATCGCCCAAAGATGGCATTTAATGACCATGCAATAAAATATTCCGTCAGTGAAAATACTTAGCAATGTAAATAGAAAGCGTGCCCGTCGGAGTTTAAGCACCAGCAGGGCCGCCACCACCAGATGGCGCTAGTAATATTTATTTATTTGTTTAGTGACAGAATCTAACATTCGTTATTTTTACTAAAAGTCTCTTTTCGTTCCGCAAAGAAGGAAATATGAAGATTTAAAAATATTTATTTCAAAGGAAAACAAATATATGTGTATTTTCGTAGAGACTGCATTTAAAATGGAGATCAAGAATAACATTATGAAACGTCATAGTGCTGTTCTATATTGCATATCAGCCCCCAAAAAAATGAATATATAAAATATTACTGATCTTGTGCCAGGCGAACAACGAAATTTAAATGTTTTTAGAGTTTTCTTCATGCAAACTAATCAGCTATAATTAACCAAAAATAATAGAAAGCCTTCTGATAATATTTTTTTAAATCAACACTCTTAGTCTTAACTCTGCAACAAGTACATTCTGGTCATCTTCAATAACATTTGTAGTGGATCTAAGAAGGCTGCGTGAATATTTTAATGTTTCGCTGTAAATAAAACATGCAACATCCACAAACATAAATTTAAATAAAAAATCAAATGATAACGATATTCAATTACGACAAAAAGGATATGTTTGAACCAACAAATATATTTTTTATATGCAGAATATTAAAATTTTGTTTTGTAAAAATGTGTGCGAAAGTTTGATCAGAGTATTTTAAAGAGAAAAGTTCTTCTTGTTGGTTTGGAAATGTTTCGTATGTTTGTAATGTAGTTTGGAAAATTTCGTACGTATGCGTGTGTGAATATATTTTCAGCGTTCGACCGCAATGGGGCCGCACCGCAGTTTCCTTTAAGGTTACATTTTCGTAGGCGAAGGAAATCAAGAAAGAAAAGAGAAAGAATAAATTTGTGTTTGATATTTATAATTAACGTAATCACGTGACAGGCTCTTGGAAAAGAAGCGGGAAAACTTGACTTGGTCATGCACTCGAAAAAGACGTGCGTGGGTGGATTGCAACGCCCA